TCCTGCCCTTCCGCTGCTCGAGCGGTCTTGACTGTCTCATCTCGACGGGCCTTCTTGGCCACCTCTGCTCGAGAACTTTCGGCCGCGGCCTCCCGCTGACGTTTAGAGAGAAGCGAACTACTCGGGGACAGAAGAGGTGTCCCCATCTATCCAACTGTCAGACTCTGGACCTGTCTTGGGTGTTCAGATTCTCGTGGTTCACCAGGGGCATCCAACGAAGGGCCAAGAGGAGGAACTCGAACCTCAGGAGCCTCAGATTCGTCTAAACCGGCGTCAAAACTCTCGGTGTCCTCCACTGGATCCTCTGAGAACAGCTCCCTAGCAGTTTGGTGGCCCCTTCGCCTTGAAGAACGGAGAGCCCCCCTGAGAGGACGATCGCGCTCCGCCAGACACGAGCTCTGGAACCAGAAACCAGCGGGGTTAGCACTGGCGCCCCGATACCACCGGCAGTATAGAAGCATGTGATGCAAATCGCGATCCTTCGCGGATAACTCAAAACGAGCCTGGGTACCACTGGCATGGGTCCAGAACCATCCCCGAGCTCCATCCACCAGTCTTCCTTCGAAGTGTAGGCGGGGATTAGAGTTGCCCACGTACAATTGGTCATACCCGAACTGACGGGCGAACCTACAGGGGATATACGGCTCAAGATAGCACACAGAGCCTGTGCGTAGAATGTGATACCCCGGCTGAATATTCACCAACCATCGAAAAGCGCCGCGTAAGAGAGCTGTGGGGCAGTCCGCCGTCGGCACATCCCTAAGAGACTCGCCGTATCTTCCTCCGCTGAAGTAAGGGAAGAAGCGACGAAAATTGTAATGGACAAAATGGGAGAGTGTCTTCCGCGCATCGGGAATGTCTTTACACTTCCAAGAGCACCTCTCCAAACGCTCAAGGAACGGAACGAACCTGTCTCCTTGAAGAGTCGCGGGGACGCTCATCAAACACTCACAGTGGTAAACAAACCACGCCATCAAGTAGGTGTATGGCAGCCCCACTCTGGGATTGGGAGTCCTGATGACCTCTCCAATCCCCTCGTCGGCAGTCGACACACAACAGAATTGGGCCGTCAGAGTGCGGAGCCCCCGGTGAATACACGCTATCATCGCCGATACCAGGGAATAGGACTTCCCGTGGGCTAAACAAACCGCAGGATACACGACCTCTACGGGAATAGCCTCAAAAGAGTGAGTGGGGATTACGCACCTCTTGAGCCACAACATGAGATACCCTGCAAGCAGAGCCTTCCCAGAGATAGGGGACATGGCCTGGTGGTGGAACAAATGGAAGACCGTTCCAGATTTGAACCCGCCCTCATCATGATCGAGAGCTATGGTAGCTTCCTCTTCAGCCACCCTCCTTTCCACTTCGGCCTGGTCGCACCCGCCTAGAGGAAGAGCAGGATTCCCTTTGACATCGCTCCCAGGGAACAGATAGTCCGCCCAATTCTTATGACTGATTCCCGGAGTCCTCTTCTTCTTCCCCTTGTGATCCCTAGCCCCTAAAGTGTTGAGGCAGATGTGATAATGGCAGAGCAACTCCCACAGAGTTTCTACTACCAAGGGGGAACAGTCAGAAAGCTGGTCGATCTCATCTTGGTCTGGGATGTACTCCTCGTAAGGAAAGTCCCCCAGAGGAAGCCCTGACACGTCATACATCTCGTGAGTGGACATACCGAGTTCACCGTTAGGGGTGAAGAAGGTGCCGCTTTCCGCACAGTACAGTTCCAGGATGCTGTGGAACTGAGAGGCATTAATCCTCAAACCATGTCGAGTGGCTTGAATGGCCACATACAACTCCGAATCCTTGAGGTCAGAATTCTCGGCCAGGATGTAGTCGGTAATTTTGGACCACCAAGTATCGCTGCCCGGTGTAGAATACACCCACCCAGGGGCTCTAAAGTCCTTTGGGGGAAAACTCCCACTTACTCGAAAGAAGCGGTGATGGAAAGTCTCTGCTACCGCCGTCGACTCCCCTGCAGGTGGCTCATTAGACAACAGGCCAGGGCGCAGACCCGTCACGCGCTTACATGAGCCCTCTACCCCATATCCAGCCGTGGAGCCTGTAAAGACACCACAGGTGACCCCGTCCTGAGTGGGGGTCAAGTCCTAGTTCATCACTCGGGGGACCGTGAAAGACCGTAGCCCGATGATCGAGAACCCCCTCGGCATGACGGGAAGGTAATAGTGAGTCCCCTCCACTGTACGCAACCATCTGCACTCCTTGAGCAGCAAAGCGGAAGGATCGGTGACAGAATCGCCAAACAAAAACTGAGGCTTCAGCAGCTCCGCCTTGTCCTCGTCTGTCAACACTGCGTCAGTGGTCAACTCACGCATCGTCAGGTGGTGCCCATCGATTACTCTCCTTGTCGAGCCAACCGGCTTATCGGCGGAGAAGACGGGCACCGGACCCAAGGAAGGAAATCGGGGAGGCGCTGGGGAAGAGGTCGCTGCAAAACAAAGTCAAGAAAAATCAGAAGGCAGATGCAGATCCGCCTGTCAAGGAGCAAAATTCGCCAGACATGACGAGACCCGCTTGCGTAAGCCACGTTCGCCTTTATTAGGCAAAAATCGAACTCGCCTGTCAGAAGACGAGTTCACTTTCGCCTAATAGAGACCGATCTCGCCTATAAAGGCTGGAACCGCCCAACGCGGATGAAGGTAAAATCCGCCTGAAAAGGGGCAGTTTTACCAAAATCACGGGGACTGCCTAACCCACCAAGGCAAGATGAGCAGCACTCATCTTCCTGGCACGACAGCGGTGACCAACACGAGAACGTTAAAGCAAACTTTCTCAACTTACCCGAGCGCGCCTCAGACACATCGGCGGTCGCACCGGCGGACAAGCGGTCGGAGTAGCGTCCGGGGCCCTTTCCCTTCACTTTACACCTCTTGGATTTTGGCGCCATTGAAACGAAGCGGGAATTCTTTCTCTTTTGAGAGATTTTCGCACACAGTAACTTTCAAAAAGGGACGACAGCGGTGACCAACACGAGAACGTTAAAGCAAACTTTCTCAACTTACCCGAGCGCGCCTCAGACACATCGGCAGTCGCACCGGCGGACAGGCGGTCGGAGTAGCGTCCGGGGCCCTTTCCCTGCACTTTACACCTCTTGGATTTCGGCGCCATTGATACGAAGCGGGATTTCTTTCTCTTTTGGGAGACTTTCGCACACAGTGGCCATCAAAAAGAGGAAAAGGACGAAACCTATTTAAAGGCGAAAGGGCTTGCGTGGCTCTGATGGCACTTGCAAAGCGAGACACTCGCGTTCAAGAGACGTGGCCACGATCGAAATCGACGGCCCAGATTGTCCTTCACAACTCGTTCTACAGTTGCGAAAGAATCATTGAAAAGGGGAACGGTCCGGTCAAAGCCCGAAACCCGAACCAAAACCCACGACTTGATCTAACGGCCGGGTTCGAAAACCACGGCCACGATGCGTCGTGGGGCGAAACACACGAAGCTGACATCATGTTGTCAAGTCACGATCACCACAATCCGACGAGATCACGCCGCCTTAGCTGGGAAGCACGAAGCCCTATCGGCAAGCACGCGGCTCATCTCCCATCAGATTTGGTTCCCTCGCCGGCGAATACTTGGCCTGACCCCACGAGTCGTACGAAATTTGGCTCCCAAAGACTAATTTCGCCTTGACGATTCATTCGCCCTTAAAGGTAAAATTACAAACAGAATGACCCCGCTTAAACGGTTAAACCCACGCCTCAGACGGCTAAGGGTTAGAGCAGAAACCTTAGCATTAAGCCTAAGAGAAACTGTTCAGCAACTCATCATACTGAGGAGAATTGTATGGCTAGCCCGATTCAAACGGTAATCGGTAAAGGCACATCAAACCCGTTGATAGTTGAGAGTTTGCTAAAAATCCTAAAAGAAACCCAAAGGAACTTGCTTCGCCCAAAATTTTCTTCATTCAAAGTATTCCAGACCCCACACAAGCCAGTTTAGGTCTGAAAACTTTAAAGGGGGTCTTGTAGATGGTAAAAAAATACCTCTAATAAGCTTACAGGAAATTCGCCCACAAGAAGTCGCCTGCCTAAGCCGCATGGTCATCAAACGTGCTCGGTTCCAGATTCGCCTGAATAATCGACTCGCTTGCACGAGTTGAGATCAGTTGGAACAGCGAAAGTTCGCCTTTCATGCAACTCGCTTGCCCGAGTCCAAAGTCGAATCCGCCTGCAAATCTCGAGGCCGCCCGCACCTGCAGGAGACGGATCCGCCAGTGTTCGGCAAACTGTCCAAACCCACTCGAGTACCA